AACTTTTCGAAATAATAATTTTTTTGTTCTTAATTAGGTTGACTATGGGCATGCTGAGGTCCAAATGCAATTTGGAAAGGACCCAAGAGAATATTGGTACATATACATATTTATTTATATTTCTATTTGCATTCTTTTAAATGTGAAACTTTAACACTTTTATTTATATATTTTTTTAGCGTGCTATCTAAAGAGTTTGTATCAGACGGAAATGGGAAAGTAAAAGGTACATTACACACTTTTTTCATAGAGAATATCAGATTAGATTATTTATGTTAATATTTATGTGTATGTATAATTTAATAGGTATAAATACGATACGAGTAGATTGGTCTAAAGACGAGTCAGGACGCTGGTTAATGAAAGAATTACCAGGAACTGAACAATTTTTCCAGGCAGATTTAATATTTTTAGCCATGGGTTTCCTAGGACCAGAAGAAAAATTGCTTAATAGTTTAGGACTAAAAATCGATCAACGAAAAAATATTGAAACTCCAAAAGGTCGTTATTCGACTGCAGTTCCTGGAGTTTTCGCAGCGGGTGATTGTAGACGAGGACAAAGTTTAATAGTGTGGGGAATTAACGAAGGACGACAAGCAGCGCGTGAAGTTGACCAATATTTAATGGGTAATACGATTCTACCCGTATCAGGCGGAATTAAACAGCGTACGATCGAGTCTTTGAAACAGATGACGAATTCTGGCTTGGTCGCATTGGCTAGTTAAATTTGCGATATTAGGAACTTTTCGTAGAAATATAAACCATTGTATAAAATATTGAATTTTATATAGTACAAAATTTGTATTATATTTATACATTTTTTTCTTGCATTTTCCAATTTATTGTCCGGAGCGAAGAGGAGGATTCGTACTTTTATGTGCTTTGATGACCGAAATTATGTCTTTTGATGCATCGCAAATGAAAAAAATCAAACATCCGGAGTTCCGGATATAACGCCGTGTGTACGTACACATTCGTGTAATGTGATTAGTCGCTCCGGACTTAAACTAGTTTCCGGTTCCTAATATTCTCTGTTTAATTTTAGTATATAGTTATGGAGGAATTTATATATATATTTAAAAATGATTGTAAAAATTTAAATCTACTTGTAATGATAATTTAGTATATAGTTACTGTATATTTATTGTTATATTTTAATAAAAATTTTTAGATTATGTTTAATTTTAATTTTTATCCATGGTACTGTAATGCGTAAAGGCTAGATTAGTTAAAGTTATTGGAAGATCAAGATCAAGTGTAACGTGATACGATCAGGAAAACTCAAAAAAAAAACCAGATAAGGAATCTTTAATTCTTTAGCCAATCAGAATTACCGATGATCAGCCAATAAAACGAATTTCCCTCAATCAACATGGAGATGGTTGCACAATCGTGTCCTACTGATTTATTATTTAAGATTTTATCGAGATGTCAAGGGAAAAAAAAAGATGAATTCTACTACACACGTTCTTCGTTTATTATCTCATGGATCAAAAGCCATATTACAACAAAGATCAATTATTACAGCAAGGTCATTTTCAATATTAAAAAATTCACTTTCATCTTATCCTGTCAAGGTAGTGTTGTTTTTTTGAAACCTTTTTAGAACCGACACAAACAAAATATTGCGAAGAAAATAATTTATCTAAATTATCTGATCTTTTACAAATTCCTTATTCAGATTGCTTCTAATGGCATTAAACTTTCCAAATTAAATCAATTAAATCAATTAAATCAAATCCGGGCCATTCAAACGCTTGACTTTGGTGGTGTCAAAGAAGCAGTCCATGAACGATCTGATTGGCCAAAAGAAAAATTTCAAAAACTTTTTGAAAATGATACGATTGCTGTAATTGGATATGGACCGCAAGGAAGGGGACAATCTTTAAATGCCAAGGACAATGGGTTGAATGTTATCGTTGGACTAAGAGAAGGTGGTAGAAGCTGGAAATTAGCATTGGAAGATGGTTGGGTATATATATATTAATATATGTAGTATTATTTGATAGAATTATTAAAATATTTTCAATTGATTTTTCATTTTCTACCAACTTCTGATGTCAGGTGCCCGGAAAGAATCTTTTTAATATTAACGATGCACTTGCGAAAGGAACAATTATTGGTAACCTTTTATCCGATGCGGCCCAAAAGGAACTTTGGCCTCAATTCGTTCCACATTTGACGAAAGGAAAGACCTTATATTTTTCACATGGTTTTTCAATTGTATACAAGGATGAAACAAAAGTCATACCGCCAAAAGATATTGACGTGATCATGATAGCTCCAAAAGGGTGAGTTTATGAAGTATATACAGTATGTTTATGGAAATTATAATGACGTAAAGTAATTATGTATATTGGTAATTGTTATTGTTCAGGTCGGGCAGAACTGTTCGTTCACAATTTCTTGATGGACGTGGTATTAATTCATCATTTGCAGTATTCCAGGATGTTAGTGGTAAAGCACGAGATAGATGCGTTGCTCTTGGAATTGCCATCGGATCTGGATACCTTTATGAAACCGACTTTAAAAAAGAAGTCTTTTCCGATCTTTTCGGTGAACGAGGAGTTCTTATGGGTGCCATTCAGGGACTGTTTCTTGCACAATATGAGGTATTGAGGGAGCGTGGACATACACCTTCTGAAGCATTTAACGAAACAGTTGAAGAAGCCACTCAATCATTGTACCCATTAATCGGTGAGAATGGCATGGATTGGTAAATATTTCAAATATGTTTTATTGTATATTTACATTTTATCATTACCTACACTTCTAAAGTTAATACTATATGATATAAGGATGTACGCGTTTTGTTCAACAACGGCACAAAGAGGTGCACTCGATTGGTATAAACCCTTTCATGACGCCACAAAACCAGTTTTCGAAAGGTTATACGCATCAGTAGCTGACGGAACTGAAACGCGACGAACGTTAGAAAAAAATTCATCACCTACATATCGCGAAGAGTTAGAAGAAGAGCTAAAAGAAATTAGGTATTTATCTTTGTATTTCGGACAAAATATTACGTATACGCTTATTTAATAACTAAAATGATTTATAGGGAAAGTGAGATTTGGAAAGCTGGCAGGACTGTACGTTCTCTTCGACCAGAAAGTAAAAAGTAAATAATAGCATCTATTGTATACGTAAAAAAATATTCCGAAGCGAAATAAAATATTCTTTACTTCTCTTATGAAAACTTCTACTATGTCAAGTTAGGATATTTTAATAAATCTCATTTACGAATGTTATTATTTTTCAGCACTGTAGATGCAGACTTATGCCTGTCATAACTGATCTTAACATCAATTGGAAGTAACTCAAAAATGTGTCGATACGTCAAAACCCTCGTAACTAACGTTTGCAATAACATCTGATGTACAAATAATAATATTAATTAGTTTTTCGCATAGTTTGATAATCAATATTATTATACTAAACTTGCTTCAGCTTCCTTTTTGCCTTTATTCCTGCTTGCTCAATGTCGACCCTTCCCAAAACATCTGCACATCTTTTTCATTTTTCTGAAGCTTAGGATAGTGAAAGAATAGTTAAAAAAAAAGAAACTATATTAAACTTAATTTGATCTTTTTGCAAACTGCGAACTGCGAACGAACACGTAGCTCTTGGCATCGTGACGCGTAGCCCTCTAGCCTTCACGCATAAGGATGAAGCCCACCGGATGCGTAACCCATTCCCAACCCGACGCGTAGCCAGGAAGCTTAGGTGGTTGTTTTGACACGTAGCCCAACTTCTCCCCGTTCTTTGCATCCAAATGTTAAATAGATTAAATACTCGCCTTTAATTCTGTATCACCAAAAATCAATATAGCTTTTTTCCACTTTTCGTTTGCTGGTATTTTTTTTTTTTTTTAATGTAAGATACAAATTTGGATATGAAAAAGTGTTCAGTATGTTTATCATAAGTGAAATCGTCTTTTAATCGACGGAAATTTAAAATTGAAAGAAGGCTGAGGTCGTCAGGGTCCAAGGTCGTTTCCCAACCTTCAAACTGAAAAAAAAGTTAAAGTTATTAAAATGATAATTAAATTTCATAGCCATTGAAAGCCCACCTTTTTTTTAACATAATTAATTTTTTCGTTCATTCTCAACGTTAAGGATAGTTCATTTTGTCAAACTATATCGATATATAGTATGTTAAGTGTTGGTACACTGGCTGTAGATCGTCACGGGAACCGTCAACGCTCGAATTTTATTGGTAGTTTCCGACTAACATCGCATGATCGTGCATTCAAACAGTTGAGTCCTCGCTACGCTTCGGACAATTAACTTATACTTTACATCTTGCAGGATAGTCTAATTCAATATATATACATATAGAGCGATATTCTTGTAAATAGGATTTTTTAGATTTTAGATTTTAGATTTTTATGTTAACCGGGTGGGTTTTTTAAAAAATTTTATTAAAAAAAAAAGCCGGCCGGCCGGATCAAAATTTGAAAACTTGTAAAAAAATTTTTTGTTTTAATAACCGGGTGGGTTTTTTATGCTTTTTATATATGAAATTTAAAAAAAAAGCCGGCCAAAACAGTAAATTTGTGTGGTACAGTCAGGGATTTTTCAAATTCATGTAATACGGATCATTTCTCTTTATGGTAAAAGATCACCTTTTAAAGCCTCGCTTTTTTTTTGATTTTTTTTTTAAATAGAAATTGGGTTTAGAATAACCTTTTAGTATATTGCAGATCATTTCTATATCGTGTAAAATACCTGACTGCTAACAGGAGTGATCGTCGATATTACACAACTGATCCTTTACCCGGTGTGCAACATATAAAAAAACGACTGATATTATCAACCCATTTTTTGATTTTCTTTTTTGGAAGATCTGCATAAATTAGCCAATCACATTGTAAATTTTTATGAAAAAAAAAACTAAAAAATACAAGAAACGAGTGTCTAAACCTATCTTGAAGCACTAATTAAAAATGGCAGGGGAGTAATTTTACTTATAATATTTGTCATATCTTTAACCTCAAACTAACCCTAACCTTAATTTTAATTGCTGCGTTTTAAATACTTTCCAAAAAAGGGAGTCTGCTAAAGCGGGGTAAATTCAATATAAGGATCTACTTACTGCATAATTGTGTTTTTGATATTTATATAAAACATCTACCCTAACAGCATCAAAAAAGTAATCTTTTTAATTACTCCGCTTTAGCGATCTCCTAAAAAAGAAAATCAAAAATGGGTTGGTAATATCAGTCTAAAAAAACTATTTTACAATACCAGATTATTCCGACAGTACATGTTATGATTATAATTCCACACCATTTTTAATAATAAAAATGATGTGGGATTATAATTATAACATGTACTATCGGAATGATCTGGTATTGTAAAATAGTTTTTTTATATGTTGCACACCGGATGAAGGATCAGTTGTGTAACATTAATGGTTGCTCCTGTATCTAACTGCATTAGGATGTTACCATATTTACTATGCAAAATACCCTGTGATCGGTATCCTCCGTGATTTGTATCCAGATATATTTCAAGTTTAACGCAATTCTATTGGCTGTTTTCTGGAAAAAACAGATACCCTTATGTCAAGAAAATCCTGGGCTGAAGATCACTTCCGACCCTATCTGGATCCAATAAAATCACAGGATCTTGTGTTACAAACCAAATGCGAAAAACATAAGAAATTGTAAAAAAATATAAATAACACAAAAATTTACTATGATAACTAACTTCCAACCTCTAAATAAAAGTTTTCAGAATGAAATTTTACTCAT